ACTTGTGACGCCATTTTTTTCACTCGGCGCTTGGTTCCCGAATTTTCGATTCGTCTTAGTCGTAGCACGCTATTAACGCTTTTACATTTTGTAGTACAAATGACGCTTAACATTTGATTGTATTTCTACCTAGATTTCTACCTCGAAATTAAGCAGATTTATGCCGCATTTCTCGTAGTTTGTAACTTGTTTGTGAAGTTGGCCGCCGGGCCGCCATTTTGTTTGTTGTTGTCTGCGCGCTTGGGCGACGCTGAATTTTGTAACTCGTCTCTTTTTTTTCGATATTGTCCCGTAGTAGCACAAAATGAACGGCTATCGTTTCTGTAGATTTATGAAGAAACTTCTAAATCGAAATATACGCTAAATATTTATAAATACCCAAGTGTAGATAAGCTGGGAAATTTCAAAGCGTCACTGCGTCACATGTGTTTGTGCATGTTCACAAGATTTTTTTTTACTGTGGTTTGCTTAGCACTGCATAATTGTTAAAAATATGAACTACTTTATGTACTTTAATAAATATTTTATTTCTGGAAGCATATCAGTGTTTTGCTTGTTCCTATGTGAAGCACTAGTACTGTGCGTTGTGTGCATGTTGTAGTCAAGAAATGAAGCGTGATTGCGATCGTACCGTAACGAGCTTGGGGCAAGAGGGAGGGGGGCGGAAGTGGTAAAAAAAAGTTGCGATCATGAAAATTTAGCGGTGGAATAGTGACCGCTAAAACCGCTATAATTAAGTGACCGTTATCAAATCAAGAATTACAGTATATAAGTGTACATGTAGCTGTTGTGAAAAAGAAGATCAAGTTCAAAAATGGTCCACCTATCTTTTTCCAACAGTACTGCAGCAGGCTTTTTATCCTACATTGCTGTCCTACATTGTTTGTGTTTTTGTTTATGTACAACATATATAACTCGAAAAGCAGTTGTTAATGATATTCAGTGAATGGTTAGAGACAGCGAAAAGGAAGGTCAAGTTCGATCATGGGCCTCCTAATGGTTATGTACGGTACTGCAGCCAAGCTTCAAAGTTTGAGGTAAAATCTTTGATTGGTTGATATATTTGCAGGAGAACATGTCAGAAGACTGTATAATGAACAAGGTGAAGCAGGTGGGAGGGAAGGATGATGACCTGACTGTGGTGCTGTTCACCTTCAACCTCAGTAACAGCACGTAAGTTACTTATCTTCAAACTTCATCTGTGCTGGCATTAGACCACACCAATGTAATTTGTTGGTTCACGGATGTGCCTACTTTATTTTTTCTCTGATTTGCCACTTAATTTTTTTCCCTGATTTGAAAAAAAGAAAAACTTTTTAGCCTCTGAATCAACTCCAATATGCTCATATTTTGGCCTAAACAGTTGAAAAAAATCTCTTCCTAGTTGTTACAGTTTTTCCATCTATCAATGCAGTGGTTTGATTTAAAGTTTCAAATTCATTGTTTGAATTACAAACCAGCCTGGTGTCAACTCCAATATGCTCATATTTTGGCCCAAACAGTTGAAAAAAATCTCTTCCTAGTTGTTACAGTTTTTTCATCTATCATTAGTATCAATGCAGTGATTTGATTAAAAGTTTTAGATTCAATGTTTGAATTACAAACCAGTGTTGACTTCATGGCTCCTATCATAGCATTAGGGGCCATCAGATGATGCCCTGGTCTGTATTTATTTTTTTTTGCCCTGTCGCTTCATATTTTTCTCTAAAAAATGTGAGAACCAACAAATCAAATTGTTGTGGCCTAATGCAAGAAATCTAAACTAACAGGCGACACTATAATTCCGGATAGACACTCTAATTCCGGACTACCTCTCACTTTTCAAGCATAGTTTGTCCTGGACAATTGACATTCCATATTGTGATGTAGAAGATGACAACAACTATGTAGATAACAATGATAGTTCCCTAGGGATCTGGTTATTTCTGCAGATTTCTGCAGAAATCTGCAGAATTCTGCGCAGAATTCTGCACCCCGCGCAGATTTCTGCACAGAATTCTGCGCTGGGTGCAGAAATCTGTGCAGAATTCTGCACCCCACGCAGATTTCTGTGCAGAAATCTGATTTCGTACAATACTGTCCTACAATTACAAAATGTATTATTATGGTGATAAGTGGTAGATATACTCTCCTACAAATGCTACAATCAGGTTACATGTATTTTGGGCATAACTTGTCGGAAATGCCCAGCTTTGGCCCAGTGCCCTGCAATTTTCTAAAGAATTTAGATTTCTGCGC